GAAACCAACTAACCACTCTACCCCATGCCAAAACATTACCATTTTACGCGAGAATCACTGCTGATTAGGCATGACTAGCCCGGTTACTAAGCAAAGCCTTGGGTGGAACAATTATTACTTTATTTATGATAAGAACTAAACTTTACTTTATGAAGAACAAAAATTAAAAATTAACTCAGACTAAAATTAAGTGTTTCAATCTCACTCCCCACAAACTATGTGGATGGGAATGTGAAAGTTTTCAAAATATAACTCATGAATTAGTGTCTTAGTAACGATAAATAGAAAATACTCTACCGTGGAATTAACCTTCACCATGTCACGCGGAGTATTCCCGCCTGTCATGCGCATGACCCAAGTTCGATTCCTGGCAACGACGCCAATTTCTTGATAGGATTTTTAGTACTTGTGCAAAGAGGGTTAAAATTACACTTGGTACTTGCAAGAGAACAAGGTAGTTGCAGTAAAAATGCTCATGCAAGGTTGTTCCCATAGGGATTATTTAAAACAATTTATTCAAATCCAAAATATTAGTTAATTATTTGAAACAAAGAATGGGAAGGGTTGCTTTTGAATTTAAATATAATAAAAACGAATTTAATAAAAATAATTTGAGAAAAACAACTAGTAACCAATTCAGAAGAAATCAAATTAAAAAGAAAAGGTTTTGAGAAATAAATTTGGAAAAACACTAGGGTTCCACCGTTCCCTTAACAATCTTATGTAGATTTACTAATGACTTTATGAATTACCTATGCAACTTTGAAGATTAGGTTCTCCTAATATATATTTTACTTGTGGCGTTCAAGATAGAACATATCAAACATGCAATCCATCTATGACATTTAGATTAAATATAAACTTGCATGACTCATTATGTTTTGTGAAAACCTTTTGAAAAACTATGCAACCCTTAAGACGTAACATTCGCCCTAAGTGAACTTACAATTATTAACCACAAGAAGCATTACAGGGTGACATTATTCCAACATAAATTGCATCCAATGCATAATATCATAAGCAATTAAATAAAAACTATATATTCATGCTAAGGCTCATGGCCTCCCCCTAGCAAAAGAAAGTTAGTTATGTATAGTCATAATTAAAATCAAAGGAGTTTTATTAAACTAGAAAAAGAGTGAAAACACCCTGTAGAATAAAGTCTGAAAATGTTAGATCCCACATTGCCTAGGGAAGAGGATCCTCTATACCTTATATGTACATGCCCACCTCCATATAGCACAAGGCCTTTTGGGAGCTCACTGGCTTTAGAGTTCATTGGAACTCCAAAGTTAAGCGAGTTCTCGCGAAAGCAATCCCAGGATGAGTGACCCGCTAGGAAGTTTTTGTGTGAGTTCTCAGAAACAAAACCGTGAGGGCGTGGTCGGGGCCCAAAGCGGATAATATCGTACTACGGCGGAGTTGAGCCCCGGATGTGGTGGAGCTCAGATCAGGATGTGACAATTTGGTATCAGAGCCAATCTCTGACCAGAAGTGTGCCGACGAGGACGTCGAGTCCCTAAGAGGGCTGGATTGTTAGATCCCACATCGACCAGGGGAGAGGATCCTCTATACCTTATATGTACATGCCCACCTCCATATAGCATAAGGCCTTTTGGGAGATCACTGACTTTGAAGTTCATCAGAACTCCAAAGTTAAGCGAGTTTGCGTGAGAGCAATCCTAGGATGGGTGATCCACTGAGAAGTTCTAGTGTGAGTTCACAGCAGAAAATCTCTGAGCTTTTGCCAAATTCCTCTCTCCAATATTGCATAAAGAATAAGAAGATAGGGCCGGCCACAATGGCTTATTTATACTACCTAGAAAATCCAAGGGACTTTGTCAATAATAGCCAAAAATTAGCTCTTAAATTTAAAAATGTCTATTTTTATAAAAACTTTGATTTTTATTCAAAATCCCACTTAATATAGACAGAAATACACTTAATTTATGCGAATAATCATTTGTTGATTAAAAGATTCTTTATACTATAAGTTGTGATATATATATTACTAGAACAAAACAAGAAGTGAACAACAATAAAAATCCGCAAAAAAACTACAAAGCAATTTGCAAATAATGATTTGTAGGAGAAGCGGATACTGGTTCAGTCAGAACTACTACAACTGTTGCATAACTACAAAGGCAATTTGATTAAAAACTACAGAAGCAATTATAAGCTACATAAGCAAAATATTTGATTTAATACTGCCCATATTATTAATACAATTTATTGACAATTCCCAAACCAAGATAAGAAGAATAAAAACACAAACAAAGAAAAATTGGCATATCAAGCAGTAGATGAAAGAACACAATGTAATACTGTAGACAGATACACATCTATTTCTCCAGCTTTCCCAAAAATTAGCGAAACGAAAGACCGAAAAATAAAAATACCGACTGAAACATGGAAGGAAATTTAAAAAAAGAAAAAAAAAATGTAGACGAGGAAAAATACAAAAAATAACCATCTACACTCATCGTCGTTTAGGGTTGCATAAGTTTCCACGAGCAATCGATGCCTTCACTATTTCTCCACCATTTTTTAGGTTTTGACATCCGAAATTCTTCATCTAATAGGGTTTTGGTTTTTTAGTTTATTTGGTTTTAAAGTTGTAGGGTATTTGTGTCAATGTAAGTGAGATTTTGGATACATTTGCAAGTTTTTATAAAAACTGACATTTTTTGAAATTAAGGGCTAATATTTGACTATATTTGATAAATACTCAAAATCCAATCCTTCCTAGAAAATGATTTAGAATAAAACTAGGAAACCAAATAAATTAGGAAACATAATCCTAAATGGACTATGATAATCAGCCCAAAACTGAACAGCCACGTTTTGGACCCATATCTACTCCAAAACCGGCCCAAAATAGCTGGATTTAAAGCTTGGACTATTCTAAACACTTCTTCAGAAGGCCATGAACCTATCAGAGGTCATCTTGGACTCCAAAAATCACAACTAAGCAAAAAAAAGGTCACTTTCCAGCACCGTGCACTGCTTCTTTATTTAATTGCCAGAAAATAACCATTTGGTAGAAATCGTTGAAATTTTGCTACGAACAAGCTAAGGAACACACAAACGTCCTCCAATTTGAATTATTCCAAAATTCGTCCATTTGGTCACATTTTGCTCCAGAGGAAGTCGAATGTTCAATGTTGAAAATATAAAGTAAAGTATCAAAATTCTACCAAAACAAATACCAAATTATACTAAGAATAGGGTAAAATATATATATTTGCAAGGATGAGACTGAAAAGAGGAGGAAGTAGCAGGTTGCCACCTACCCCGAGCAAGAGCAAGGGGCGGTGACTGAAAGTTGAAGCCGGAGAAGAGGCTCTAGATCTGGGCTTCTAGAGAGAGAAACAAGGGGGGAGAGAGAGAGAAGGCGTATTTCCAAAATTTATTGAAACAATATTTCGATAATAGTTTAAAGACGACTAGCCCAAATTATTTATAAAAAATAGAGTTCAAGAGCCAAAATTACGGTTCGATAATAGTTTAAAGACCACTAGCCCAAATTATTTATAAAAAATAGAGAATTGAACTCGAAACCTCGAGTGCAACTTTAGCTACAAATATTTCTTGTTCACATAAGAAGACTTGGGAATCAAAGGTTTCGAATAGAAAGTCAAAGGTGTACCAAGTAAATCCAAGTAAATAGAAAAAAAAAAAAAAAAAAAAAAAAGGGAACAAAAATATCAACCGCAATGATTGGTCTTGGTCAATGCAGTCCCGGTTCAAAGCATAAAATCCCAGAAAAAGGGCCGGCGGAAGATTCACGGCATAAGCACTGATAATATAGTGGCGACGACTCTCAAAACCAATCGAATCAAAACCTCATCACATTCTCCGCAAACAAACGATTTTTAGTGGAATCTTATTCTCACCTTCCCATATACTCATCTGTATTTCTAACTTGTTCTGTTTGTCTTCATTTACGCGTTTTTGAACAACCTTTGTTTTTCTAGGTCAAGCATGACTCCACAGTCCACATGGTAGAAACTTTTGTAGGGTTTTATGAACTGAGAAATTCTTAAGTCTCCACTTTCTTGTCACGTCACGTGTACACTCGCGAAACATACAAAAAGGACTCTTGCATTCGCGTCCCCCAAAATGCCAACGGGAGTTTCTCCTTTTATGTGTCTTAGAGTGTAATGGTTGGTAAAATTGAGGACTAAACACCTACAGATGTACTCGTTTTTCGTACATCTCAAAGTTTAGTTTGCACAATTTCTAAGAGTATCTCCAAATGAGTCAAAATGTCCACATCAGCAATGACAAAGAAAAAAAAAGACAACATTAATGTTTTCCAACCAAAATGTCAATTTCTATGCGCCATGATGCTGTCAAATTTGACAGCAAAAGTGGTTGCTGTCAAATTTGACAACAAATTATGAAAAGTATATAATGTAATAAATAATAATTAAATTTGACATACCGGATGTTGAATTGTCTAAATATTATTGTAGCAAAGTTGCTCAATATAAACTTACGTGTTTTTCACATACTATAATTATTCCGTAATTTACTAACAACATTGGTACCCATAACAAGAACCCCTACTCAAAAATCACTCGTAAAGAGATCACTTGTTTATTTAACAGCAACCACCTTTGTTGTTAATCCGTAATTTACTAAGTCTACCGACGACTTGGAGTTTCACGCTAGAGAACATACCACTCATTTATTTACCTTGAAGTCTAAAAGTGTCTCTGCAAGGCTACTTAATACTACGGTCTAGTGGTATTACTCTTCACATGTAAGTGAGGTTTTAGGTTCAATTTTTGCCAAAAGCGAATTTGAATCACATTATTGATAGTCCATTATGAGACTAAGCCTACCCCTCCTTCTTAGTGTAGATAATATTTTTTTATTAAAAAAAGAAAAAAAAAAGAAAAAAAAAAAAAGTGCCTTTGCAAGAACGCCATTAGTCAAGAGTCCAGTCAACTCCACTTCCCAACCAACACGCCGAACACTTTCTCTTCTTCCCGTTCCCACAACATTTCCACTCCTCAAAAACGCCAATAACCCAAACCCAAACACAAACACAACCAGACATCTCTCAGCAACTCTCTCTCTCTCTCTGACCCCCTCCTCCCACCTGAAAACCACATAAACTATTTATAAAACTCTCCCTTCATATTTATAAATTATAAAAGACCAAACACAAGTGCAAACACAATAACCCTTGTAGCCCAAAAATGAGCAGGTATGGCCGCCAAACCACCTCGCTTGTCCTGTATTTCAACTTCCATTTCTTCTTGTCCTTGTTCTGCTACCTTCCTCTTCCTATGGTCTTCTCTCAACTCTCCTCAAACCAGAAAACCGCCATGATCAATCTCTCCAACAACCTCAACACTCCTACTAGAGTTGTTTCATGGGACGTCAACAAAGAACCAAACCCATGTTTGTGGACGGGAGTTCGTTGCAATCCCCCGACCAATTCATCCGTCATCCAGATTTCACTGGCCGGCTATTCTCTATCTTCCTCGGACTTTCTGCCACTCGTTTGCCGGATTCAGTCTCTGCAGATTCTCGATGTGTCCCGCAACCTTCTGACCACAATCCCACCTCCGTTTATCTCGGATTGTGGAAAGCTAGGCGGGTTAAAGCTGCTCAATTTTAGTTGGAACAATTTGAAGGCTCGTCTTCCCGATTTTGCCGGGTTTTCGGGGTTGGAGGCTTTGGACTTTGCTGCGAATAACTTGGATGGAAGCATTGACTCCGAGTTGGACGGGTTGGTCAGGCTCAGAAGCTTGAACCTCAGCTTCAACCATTTTATTGGGTTTGTTCCGACACGTCTCGGAAAGTTCAAGGTTTTGGAGGAGCTTGAGCTTTCTATGAATACGTTTGATGGTCCTATCCCTGCTGAACTTGTGGGATACCAGAATTTGACTCTGATTGATCTTAGCGGAAATCGGCTTTCCGGGAGTGTTCCTGATGGAATCAGAGAGCTCGCCAAGTTGGAGGTTTTGATTCTTTCGGCTAATAGATTATCCGGCAGAATCCCACAAAGCATTTCCAATATCACCAGCCTCTGGAGATTTGCAGCAAATTCTAACAATTTCAATGGTTCAATACCTGATGGCATTGCAAAGCATCTGAAAAACTTGGACCTCAGTTATAATAGCTTGAGTGGGTCGATTCCATCGGACCTCTTGTCCTCGTTGAATCTGCATACTCTGGATTTGTCGAATAATAGATTGGAGGGACAGATACCGGAAATTCAATCTCCGAGCTTGGTCAGGTTGAGACTAGGAAACAATTCGCTTGATGGGAAGATACCTTCTACAGCAAGTGCAACACATCAAAAGTTGACCTACTTGGAGCTGGAAAACAATAACTTGACTGGATTAATTTCTCCTGAATTGGGTGATTGCCGGAATTTGGCGCTGCTGAATTTGGCTCACAATCACCTGTCCGGGGCTTTACCAGCAGATTTGGGTAACCTTGGCAGTCTTGAGGTCTTGAGACTTGAATCGAACAATTTGAGTGGTGGAATTCCAATTCAAATTACACAACTACCCAAGTTGTCCGTTCTGAATATCAGCTGGAATTCTCTCAACGGCTCAATACCACCTTCAGTTTCACACATGCGGAGTCTTATTAACATGAACTTACAAGGCAACAAGCTCAGCGGTTCCATTCCCGTCGGTATTGCCTCCATGAATTCTCTGATGGAACTCCAACTTGGAGAAAATCAATTAAGTGGTGACATTCCAAGAATGCCGGCGAATTTACAGATTGCTTTGAATCTCAGCAGCAATCTTTTTCAAGGACCTATTCCGGAAACTCTTTCGATGCTCAGTGGATTAGAAATTGTGGATCTCTCAAATAACAAATTCTCAGGAAAGATACCTGATTTTTTTACTGGAATGGGAGCCTTGACACAGTTGTTACTATCTAACAATGAGCTCTCTGGAGAAATTCCGGATTTCGCTTCTTGGGTCATGGTCGACACAAGTGGGAACAAGGGTTTGACTAACAGAACAACAAGAAGCACTCCAACCCAAACGGAGAAGAAAAATTCATATGCAGTGACAATTGTTCTTGCAGTTGTAGCAGCGGTGGTTGCTTTTGGAGCAGTCACCACTGTTGCCTTATCACTATTGAGACAGAATGACAGGGTTAATGATGAACGAGTTCAAACAGGGGAAGAACTTGCTGTGCCTGAGGTCCTCCAGGGAAATCTCTTAACTGCAAATGGTATTCATAGATCAAACATCGTTTTCACTAGAGCGATGGAAGTAGTTTCTGACCGATCAAACATTGTGCTGAAGACTAGGTTTTCAACTTACTACAAAGCCATCATGCCATCTGGAGCAATCTACTTTGTCAAGAAGCTCAACTTGAGTGACAAGATATTCCAACTGGGCAGCCACGAGAGGTTCGCCAAAGATTTAGAGGTCTTTGGGAAACTAAGCAATTCCAATGTCATGAATCCGCTGGCCTATGTCTTGACTATTGACAGTGCTTATCTGTTCTATGAATTTGCTCCAAAAGGAACCCTTTTTGATGCTCTTCATGGTATCTCGGGTGATGACATGGATTGGGGGAGCAGATATGGTATTGCAGTCGGAGTAGCGCAGGGTCTTTCTTTTCTTCATGGGTGCACTCCAAGTCCAATACTCCTTCTTGACCTGTCAAACCGAAGCATTTTGCTCAAGTCCCTCAAGGAGCCTTTGATTGGAGAAGTTGAGCTCTTGAAGGTGACTGATCCGTCAAAGAGCACCGGTAACCTTTCTACTATTGCTGGTTCTGTTGGCTACATTCCTCCAGGTAAGCAATTCTGTGATTTCTTCAGTAACTTGCTGGATTTAAAGCACTTATGTCTAAATCTTGTCTCTGTTTTGTGGCAGAGTATGCATACACTATGAGGGTAACAATGGCCGGCAATATCTATAGCTTCGGGGTCATTCTGCTGGAGTTGCTGACGGGAAAGCAAGCAGTTAGCGAGGGCATTGAGTTGGCCAAGTGGGTCTTGAGTAACTCAGCGCAGCAAGATAACAGGGATCACATTCTTGATTATAGTATCAGCAGAACATCAATTGCCGTCCGAAGCCAGATGCTTGCAGTCCTGAAAATTGCTCTCGCTTGTGTTAGTGTATCACCCGAAGCAAGGCCAAGAATGAAGAGTGTGCTTAGGATGCTCCTCAATGCAAGATAAAGTAACACGGCATGATTCAAACTCGATGTAAAAAACCAGTTCCACGCATAAGATGGGATGAAACCCCAAGTTTTGGTCAGTTCCTACGACTAGAATATGTTTGTGTAGTTAAAGCGTATCTTGCCATAGAAGATAGGGCAACTATAAGAAGTAATGTAAAATGTAGAAAGTATACATACTGAACTAGATTATATTTGAGCTTTACCACTTACACAAGATAGCCAAAGCTTGTACTACTGCTTCCGACAGAGCGCCAAGTGCAATATTTATTGAAAATAGACATGTTACGTATGAATTCCTAAAACATTTTCGAAATGGATTTCAGTTGCAATACTTCTGTATCATGAACACGCTTAAAGTTACAAATTTGATTTCATTCAACCCGTATGCTACAACCTCAACAACGAGTTTCTTGCAATAGCCAACCCTAAATAAAAAAAAAACAACGGCCAGCAAGATTTTATGACAGAACCTTTGACGAACTAGAACTAAAACTCATTATGCATTTATATTCAAAATTATTTTCCTATTCTTCATATAATTCCCGTCAACCTAAATGTTAAGCAACAGTAGAAGCATGCCTGACGAGATAAAATGAGGAAAATCCCAGACATTCCGAAAGCCAAGCAGGAATCAATTGGGGACAAGGTATCCAGAGACTAGAAGGTAAGATCTTTGGGGTCCTCAATAATCTTGGCCAAGGTTTGCAAGAATGAAGCAAGATCAGCACCATAAATTATGCGATGGTCAGCAGTAACATTTACCTGTAAAGAATTTTATGTTCCAAGAATTAGAATTTGTAGTTGCATTCTATGTATCATACGACTAAGTATAGCCTTCGAATTTCTTACCTGCATTTGGTTCTTCCTACCAATCCGGCCATCCTTAGTAGCCACAACAGTAGGCTGAGATGATCCAACAGCCATAATTGCTCCCTATCGAAATTGAAATCAGAAACGCACAAATATTAATAACCACCAGCATAGAACATTCATCTTCACTCTCTAACAGAAAATAAAGCATGACAAATAAACACTTACAGTTCCGGGTGGCAGAATAGCATCAAACCGATCAACACCAAACATCCCAAGATTAGAAACAGTGAAAGTACCTACAAAAACAGTAAAGAGTCGTCATTTAAATCAGACATAACAATGGCCTAAACCCTGAATTGCATATCAATAGAGACAGATACTACTGAGGTACTCAACCACAGTAAGGTTCTGTGAGTCTAATAATAAGGCAGGCTAAACAATAAGGGCCAGACCCTCCTAACACGCCACAATCAAAAGGTGACAGAGAACAGGCATTGTAAACTGCATCATTAAAAAATTTCTAGACGCTGTTCCTCTAATTTGCACTCTGACTGTATTGGTGATCTGAGTAAAAAGGAAAGACAACGAGGCACAAAATTCTAATGGCACGGCCAAAGTTGTGACCTCAAAGAGCCGAGATTGAGTTGAAGCATTGAAACAAATAGACTTAGCAAACCAGCATTTGCTGTTCGTAAAGCACTTTACACACAGTACAGAAAGTTGTAATCTTTTGTTATTGGTGTCAATAAAAACCAAGTTTAACAGAAGGCAGAAGAGGGAAGGTCGCTCAATTTACAATTACAAAAAAGAATTTAGGCACAGCCTTTTCCACAGTTATAGAAGAGAAGCCTTAGCCGCCTTTTGAAATATTGGCCCAGATAACGCTTTCAAATCCAAGTACTAATTTGAAACAAAATGAACCTAACAGACAACTTAATTATGTACATGTTTTGGAGAACATGAGAATCTGAGCATAGGCAACCAAATTATTTAGGCATTGATGCTTGAGGCAAACAGACACTGACTGCATGAACAATGATCACATTGTTCTCATTCTAATTATTCAGCTTTGGTGTTTAATTTCATACAACAATAAAGCATAAATTGAACTATTCCATGTCATACTTTAGCTAAATAATTAAAAGTTCAAAGTGAATGTCAGTGCACTTAAATCCTTGTTTTTCTCAAAATGATCATACTTTTTTCTTATGGATCGAAAAAATTGTTAATTACATTTGGATCAACATGATTATTTCGTTCAAATTTAGTAACATACTTTTTTTCCTATTGATAGAAAAAGTAGTTACTAAATTTGATAAAAATAATCATGAATTTTGAAGCATTTTATACAAGTTTTAAAAACTTCACATGCAAAGGTTGTTTATTATCACATTTCATTCTGCATGACAATGTAATAGAAAATATACCAAACTCTCTCATGCCTTCTCTGCTCAACATGTTGTGTAGTTACTAAGCATTTAGGCAAGTAATAATAGTACCTGTATTATACTCATGAGGTTGTAGCTGCTTGGCCCTGGCCTTATCAACTAACTCCTTCCACTTTCTTGACAATGTATATATGTCAACCTGAACCACAAAACTTCGAGCCTTAGAACCACCAACCACCTTCCCAAAACAAAAGAAACCACTACTATAAAGCACGGAAAACGAACAGGCACAAACCTTGTCCGCATCCTGAAGCACTGGTGTAATCAATCCACCATCGATTGCCACAGCAACCGCTATGTTAATGCTGCTGTTGTATGTAAAGCTCTTACCATCTCTACAGCCAGAGTTCACAACAGGATGTTTGACCAATGCAAGTGCAGTAGCCTTTGCAAGCAATGCTGTCATGGTAACTCCCTTCGACTTGATCTAGAAAAAATAAATCATAACATCTACTCGTTACAACAAAATAACATGGTAAAATTGACTTAATGAATCTACTGTCCAGATTCAGAATTCTCGACCAGTAAGCCACATTCACATGGGGAATAAAATGCTACCTTATTAACGAAGCAAGCGCATACTATAGACTACAATACTCTTCATTTAAATGGAAAAAGAAATCGTATTATGATTTTAGGACAATGTCAAATTATCAAGTTAGAGACTCAATTTTGATGACACAAACTATGGATTCTCATGTTACGCAACCCAAATTATTGAATTGAAATTACCTAAAAAACAACTTTTCGGTGCTGCGCATAAATGAATAATGAATTTGAATTTGATAATAAATAAGAATTCAGCGTTGTTCTTGCAAAATGTGAAATGATACCGAAAGCATGTTTCTCGAAAATTTGAAGTTACCTTTTTGTACAGGGCATCCAGCGCGTCAGTGGTGATAGTGTATCCTACTCTGAAAGTGGGCACAGAGAGACTCTCAAGCATGTTCCTACTCACAGCCCCCTGCATTGTTGTAAAAGGCACCACCGATCCCAACTCAATTCCTGCCTCCGCCGCCACAGCAGCAGCTGACTTTCCAACACTCGGTTCAGCCGCCACCGCCACCGTAGGCTGAGCAGCAAAAGCTTCAACATCCTTAGCCACAATCCTCCCCAGTGGTCCACTTCCCACCACTGACCCCAAGTCCACCTTCAAGTCCTTAGCAAGCTTCTTTGCATATGGCGATGCCACGATTCTCTTCCCTCCCTCTGACGCCGGGTGGGTTGAAGCCACGGTTGCCGCCACCTTAGGGACCACCGCAGGACCCACATTATCCGGAATTTTCGCTGGTTGTGGCTCCGGAGCAGCTGCGGCCGGTGCTGGTGCCGCTGGAGCTGCTGATGAAGAACTGGCCTTGGCCTTGGCCTCGGCTATCTCGTCCTCGGTTTCGGCCAATAGAGCAATAGCCGAACCGACGGCTGCGACGCCGCCCTCCTCGACCATAATCGAAGCCAAGTAACCGTCGTAGAAAGTCTCGACGTCCATGTCAGCCTTATCAGACTCAACAACGACGACGCTTTCGCCCTTGGAGAGCTTGTCGCCCTCGGACTTGACCCAGGAGACGATCTTGCCCTCAGTCATGGTGGAGCTGAGAGCCGGCATGAAGATCTCCCGGATCTTGGCCTGGACTTGGGCCCTGCCCCGGCGCCCGGAAATAAGTGCCGGCGCAGAGGAGGTGGGGTTACGGCGGAGTGTTTGGGAGGTGGGGATGAAGGAGGTGTTGAGAAGGTGAGCCATTGGAGTGGGCGGTCAGTGAGAGAGAGAGAATGAGGGGGTTTGTGTAGAAGAAGGAAGGAAGGAAGGATGAGAATCCAGAGGGTCTGTGGATTCGATCGGTAGGTTTTGTTTTGTGGGTTTATTTCGATTTCGAGTTGATATCTTCATCGCATTTGGGTGTGTGTGTTTCTCGAGTGCATCGAAACGATGGCGGTCGTTCCAACTTCCAACTACTTTACCAGTGTCGATGGTGGTGATGTGCTTTTGGTTTGCTTCCCTTCTATAAACGTTAATGTTTTTACATCACTGGGCCTCGAAATTCATCAAAATCCTAATTTTTGAACTTCAAATTCAAAATGGACAATGTCATTTTGAAATTTAGTTCCGTACATCAATTTGGTTATTTCGTTTAAATTTTCTCAATTATTTATGATAACTAAGTTCATCTCTACCCAAAAACTATAGGTCATCTATAGTCAACAAAATCAGTCTCCTGCTAAACAGAATCGAGCTAAAAGAATCAGGTTAAGTTTAGTTCCAAAAAATACTAAAATATGAAAACGAATATAACAAATGATAATGTTAATGAGTTAAATTATTAAATGCTAGTAAGTGAGTGATCGGTAACGATCAAATCCATGAACCCAACTAACCACCATCAAGCCTCTCCCTCACCACCAAGGCCGGATCAGCACCACGGCCAACCGCAAACCACGATAATCTCTCCTTCACTAATTTATCTACCACCATTAGGGGTGGGCATAAAAACCGCCAAACCGCAAAACCGCATCGAACCGTAAGAAAAAAAACCAAAAAAAACCGTGTTGATCGGAAAAGTCAACTTTGAGTGAAAAACCGAACCGAACCGTTCAAACCGATTCAGGTTCCGGTTTTGAATGACCAAGAACCGGCCGAACCGAACCGAACCGTTTTATTAATAATAAATAAATAAATTATATATACACACACATGTCATGGTATAATAGGTTGAAAAATTGTGTACAGGAGCTGCTGCTTCTTGCTTGCTCTCTGAAGTCTGAAAACCTGCAATTTGCTTCATCATTTTTTTGTTTGTTGACTGATTGACCAGTGCATATGTATTTTAGTTGTCTCTTTTTGTTGACTTGGTGCCACTACCAAAGACATTTGCATTAAAAAAGATGGTTGTATGCAACTTTATGTAATTAGTTTTAGAAGATGTATTTGAATGCATAATGATTTGGTGTTCAAATAATTTATTATTAGGAACCGTAAACCGGCAAGAACCGAATCGGAACCGGTGTAGACCGAACCGTAATGTTCTAGTAATAAATTTAAGTGGAACCGCACCGAATCGAACCGTTAATATATTTCGGTTTCGGTTCTAATTTAGGGGTGGAACCGCACCGTGCCCACCCCTAACCACCATTGGAGAAAATTGTGAAACCATCTTACTACCACCAACTCCACCATGATGGACCTCAACCATCAATAAGAAAACCTAGCATAAGAACTTGTTTCATATAGTCTTACCACCATTCAAGATCCAAATTTTCAATTTCTTTTCTTTAAAAGGGGACAACTGGTGATAAACTACGGTTATTCATCATTTCCAGGCCTGAAGAAACTATAAGGAATTTCACCCTGACCGTGACCATAGTCAAACAGACTCAGCAGCTCGAAGTTTAATTAAACAAACAATATGGGGAAATGTAAAGGGGGAACACAACAGAATTTGAATCCATTCTTCCTCTCACTTTGTAAGACTATCTTATATGTTTGATGAGTGCATTTCCGTTCACTCTCACCTTTATTTTTATTTTTTTTAGGAGAACAATTGGTGACAAACCACATTATTCACCTCTTTCGAACCTGAAAAGACTATAGAGGATTTCACCTGCTCGTGACTACAGTCAAACAAACACAATAACTCGGATGAATAGAATCCACAGTGTGCCGTATGAAATACGACGTGGTGGTTTATAACATAATTTAGTTTAATTTGTTGTATCTGGAGTAATATCCGGCTTCTAAAGACGAGCTGCAACATCAAATTTATTGGAAATGGTAGAAGTTGCAGTTCCCACCCGCGTTCATATCAGACCCCTTCTTTCTGTAAGCCCACATCTTCCAATTCGTCGTAATATAGTGTCAACAAATACAAAAGCATGCAAGATTCGTGGAGTTGCAGCTTCTTCTTCTTCGTCTTCTTCTTCCTCTTCTTCCACTAGTACTTGTGGGTATAAACTACCGGTTGATGATGGACAAATAGTGTTGCCAAACAAGGCAAGCAAGAAAAGGGTCTTCTTTTTAGACGTCAATCCTCTCTGTTATGCAGGAAGCAGTCCCAGCTTACACGCTTTTGCTCATTGGGTCTCCTTATTTCTCAATCAAGTTAGCCTATCCGACCCTGTTATTGCTGTAAGTCCACTTTACCCATTTTGGCACCATGTGTTCGATGAAATGCTTCACTGGGTTTTTCCTCTTTCTCTTGACATAATGTTTAATCTTAGCTCAAAGGTTCCACAAATTAAATTGGTTAGGGAAAGATAGATAGCTAGCTTGGCAAAATATATTTGACAGGAGCCACTATGTAGCTCCACACCTGAGCATTTTTTGTGATGCTTATAGGGAAGTTTGATTACCCTATTGAAGGGTTAAGAAGCAGTTTATGATTTCTACGTGGTTAGTGGCCCGCCATTGTTTAACTCGATAGCCCAAGCAGAAACATAATATCCGTTATGCACAAAGCTATGTATTTTTATGAAGGGATGTGTGATAAGTCATTGGACCTTGTAGACTCCCTACAAAGCTAATTATTCTTCCATGATTCTCGGAATTTGATCATCTTGACTTTGAAATTACAATTAACTAATGTTGTATCATGATGGTTAATCTTGGTAGCGGTAAATATATCTACTTTTTCTAAATTCTGCACTCGCAGGTTGTTGATGGGGAAGGAGGAAGTGAGCACCGCAGACAGTTATTACCAACTTATAAAGCATATAGGTGGAAATTCACAAGACAGTTTTCAAGGGGGCATGTTGGAAGGTCACATGGGGTCATCACCAATGTCCTTCGAAAATGCAATGTGCCTGTGAGTTAGCCTCTATTTTGGTATCATCACATGAGGTTGTAATATTATCTTTAGAGCAAATATGAATCTGATTTTAGAGCTAGAAGCATTAATCAAAATTAATTTTTTAATAAGTAATAATTTGTTAATAGAACATTGAGAGGCAACTACCGAGTACACAAACATTAACATGATGTTTATAATGAAGCAACACAAAAATTCGAACGGAGTAAAGAAAGAAATGGACCATACGAACTACATTGTTACTAGCACTGTCATTGGCAATACTACCAACCGTTGTTATCATCATTTTCATTGTCAACACACTACAGTTATCACCTTGTTATTTATTGCTGCCGCCAAGACATTAGCACGACCAAGGAATTAGCACACCACCTACACTGATGGTGTTTTCCCCACTATCACCACTATGGTTATGTGATCATTGTTGCTTCTGTTGCCACTTGCCACCACTTACCACAACTACCAACTTATTATATTCTTGCAACATCCATTCTTTCCTTTATCATAATCATATTTTCAATGAAGTCTAAATAATAATTTTTTTTTTTTTGGTAAATAAACTGTTATTTATCTTTTGTCAAACCCATTCCTACTTGGAGCTTGTATCTGATGCTACACATAATACAAGATACAGGATCTAATCCTATCCTATCCTATCATATTTGGTCAATTAGAGAAAGTTTAGTGGAAAGGGCCAAGGGCACTCTCAAAATTTTTAGGTTAGGGGCAAAAAGGTGTTAGGTGGCTAGTTTTCATTGGCTACCAATTTCTTCGTAAGTTGACCCTTCAAGAGCCTTGGGCAAGAGCCGGGGATAAACTAGCCCCTTGAAGAGACCTGGGCTATTTTAGCCTAGGCTAGATTGTCCCATTAGAAGTGTCATTTGAGGCTAAATAACCTTTTTTTCAAGGCTACTTTTCATGCATTAGATATGCTTTTATATCCTGTGCACCAAAGACCGACATCTATTTGATAGACTCTCCAGGTTGAACCCCTCTACCTTTTGTTTCTTATTTTTATTTTCTAAAAGACCTGGGAAGGAGTAGAAACAATAAAACAGCTATAATATGTCAAAATAGCAATGAGCGTTTGATAGTATGGGAGATCTGTTTCTTTCCTATTTTACTGCTGCTGCTTTGGTATTCGAAATTTATCATTCCAATATAAACATGATTACCTGTATTTATGAACAGGCAAGGATCTACTTGTTTGAAATAAAAATTCAATAACCAGTTTGCTCTCTATTTAAAAATTGTATCCTTATAAGTTTTGAATTTATACATAATTTTTTATTAGTCTGGATACTTCCTAATATATTGGATTCTTTAAGCCATGCCTGAAGCTAGTGGAATTGAAGCTTAAAACATGAAATCTCTCATAAAGGCGTGTAGATGATAAAATTCAAAATTTTGGTTTTCTGCTTTTGCGTTATTTTGAACATAAAGTGGTGCAGGTCATTCAAGTAGAAGGTCATGAAGCTGATGATGTTATAGCTACACTTGTGGGGCAAGTTATTCAAACAGGATATCGGGTGGTGATTGCCTCTCCTGATAAAGATTTCAAGGAATTGCTTTCGGAAGATGTCCAGCTTGTTATGCCCCTGGACGAGTTAGAACGCTGGTCGTTTTACACTCTTAGCTCAGTATAACTGTGATCCATGCTGTGATTTGAGCCTTAGTAAGTATAATTGTAATGTGATGGTTTCTTATTTCAATTAATTATGTTAGTGCTGGCAATATGACTCTAATTTGACATATTTTTTTATGATAAATGTTTTCTAGTTTTGTTTCCAGAGCCAGTTATGATGTTGATGTATCTTATCCTAGACAGTTTTCTTCATAATGCTATATCTGTGACTGTTCACTGTTACATAAGACTTATTGATTCATGTAGTCTATAGTTTTTAGGGCTTAATTAAAAATACTCATTAATTTAGCTAGGATGTCATAGAGTGAACACTGACATATTTAGATAATTATTCACGGATGAGAATTTGGACAGTAACTGTGCTGCAATGTTTTGTAAAGCATTTGATCAAATTCCAACACACACATAATGGGTTTAAATAAGAGTTATCTGCCATACAGTTAACAGTTTTTAGGCAGCAAAAAACTAAATTGGAGTTCTTTCAGAGACTGATCATTTCTTCTTAATTTGTCAGTTTGTTTACATTTCTTCTAAGCTCCCAGAGTGGTTTTAATAGGCCGCATTCCTGTGTGATAAACCCCTCTTAATATAATATTCATTCACTTCCAGAACATGTTTTGTAATTCTGTTAACTTAATGCCGAGGGTGCATTGTGGGTGATCACACTGATGGTGTTCCTGGAATCCAACATCTAGCTCCTGGATTTGGTCAGAAGACTGCCCTAAAGCTCTTGAAAAAGCATGGTTCATTGGAAAATCTACTAAACACAGCTGCAGTCAGAACTGTGGGCAGACAGTATGCTCAAGATGCTCTAACAAACCATGCTGATTACCTAAGGAGGAACCACGAGATTCTTTCCCTTAGGAGGTAATTAATATGCTTGCGGTGCTAATTTTCTTTTATCAGTAAATTCCAGGGATAATTTTGTTATTCAGAGTTTTCTTATTACCTTGCTCTATAGTAGTCCATAGTTCTTGATATTCCTCAGTCAAACTTTTCTGCAGGGATGTTGATGTTAAACTTAGAGAGGTGTGGTTGGTTACGCGAGACAGAAGCAATGATTCAGCAACTCTGTCCAACTTCTATAAATTCTTGGAAGAAACCGGGAATTTCATTTGTCAAAGAGCATCTGTTTCAAATGGCTAAGCTGATAGGTAATTGCTTGTACCTTTCCATATGACAGGAACAAGTTCATGATCCGTTCCTTGTTTCCCATTGAGGGTATGGAGAGGTGGGGCGGTACTTGTTGAGGATGAGGTCTTTAATTTACTGATTTGTCTTGCCTGTACATTTCTCAAAGTTTAAAATTTTATACATTTCATTCTACATGTCCGTTACATAACTATGACATTTCTGAAATTTTGAAATACTATAAAGTGCAGTCTACCATAACAGTTCATTCTATCAATAAAATATCATATAGAGAGAAAAAATAACTAATGTATGAGCAACACATTTCACTTTTACAGTGTCATTGTCTAACACACACATGTCCTTTATTCAATATAATCCGTTCTTTACATCAGGATATTGGATTTTTCTCGTATATGCATTACCATGATACAATCTTATTCATTTTTCCAATGCACCTGGCACTCAGATTGTTTACTTCATTACTTATATTCGTCACACGTCTTCTTGATAGAGTTCTACATACCACTAAACAAAGGATTCTCAAATGACTTATTTCAAGTAGTCATTTACAAAGCCCTCGAAGTGCATTACATCTAGTGATTACAAATCCCTCTATCTAATGTTTAGAGTACGGTAATTCTAGTTGTGTGAGTGAGATGTTGGGATTTTAGTAGAGAGAGGTTTAAGAAATATAAGAGCTGATGTGTTTTTTTGGATTACCACTCTGAAAGGGTGGGAGGAGGGAGAAAAAAATGAAGGAAAATATAAGAGATGATGTCGCTTTTTGGATTACCACTTGGAACGGGTGGGAGGAGGGGTGAAAACAACTTAAATTTGTTTTTAGTTTTTGGTTTTTGGTTTCCTTTTGTGTACCATTCCATATACATTTCTTCTACTTCTCTCTCACCATCCTTCCTCCTCAATTCATCTCTCCTTCTCCTGTATCTTACCAAAAATTAAACATAAAAGACTAAACTTGAAATGGTTATTAAATGGGCCCCAAAATTTTCATCGCCAAAGTATTTCTTCTGAAATCTTAATCCTTTGAGCTTAAGATTACTGATATCATCTGAAAGCTTTTATAAAGAATTAATTCACTTTTATAGACCAGTGTTCTAGGATTAGCACATACAGAATGATCATGTAAATAATTTTTTCCCCCTGAACTATTTTCCATTAAAATTTGTACAGTGGGTGGTATGAAGAACTATATTATTTTAACCCGAGAGCTTACCAAAATTTAATGTACTGGGATGTGCTACCATATAAAAGTCCTGAAATCAAAGAACAACTGAGTGCAGACTGATATACTTTTATGCTTCTGATTGCGGAATTTATCGTAAGCTCTCACTACCTGTCTTCTTCCTCCCTCCCTCTCCCATTTTTGTTGCTTCTGATATGCTTTTCTCCTCCTGTTTCTGGGATCTCAGATTTTGTTCTACGGTGGCTAAGAGAAACTTCGCAGCGGTAGATTGCAATGTGGTAAGATGGTTATAGTGCATGAGTGAGTGCTGAAAGTTTTGGGACTGCAAATCTCAGCGAAATACGCCAATGTACCAATTCCACCCAACGGGTGCATTTGAATGCTTATGATGTCGAATTTCTTCTTACCTGTGTCTAGAAGGGTCTTATTCCTTTGATACTTGGTGTTACAAGTTATTTAGGTAACTGGACAATGTCTTTTGTGTGGAGATTGGGCCCCAAGCTACTACGTGTAGTTTGTACGGGAAGAATTATTTTGTTTCCCAAAAATAAACAAATTTTTCTTTCTTTCTATTTTTAATCAAAGAGGACAAAGAATTTGAACTCGCAACAGGTTTCAATGCTGCGAAGAGAAGCGTCTACGCGGACAATAACTGAGCACGAGAAGCATGACCTTGACCGTTAACAAAGGATATATGTATAGGAATTTCTTGCTGTTATCTTGGCAGTAACAGAGATTTTCGTGCTACAAGATTTTATCCTTTGAATAAGACATGAACATTGGAGCAACTGGCCGATTCAACATCTCTTGAATATGAAAACAAGAACTGGAGACCATGATCGGTTTACTGTCTGAAACTCGGAGCAGATCCACGTCTCAACCGGTAATTTGGAGATGAAATCTTGGACAGTCTTCAGTTCTTCCCTGAATTTCCAAAAGGAAAACATGAAGTCTAAAACATGAGAGTCGATGAGAAGAACACAACTGCCAGTATTAAGCTAAACAAGATACGAACAAAATCATAAACAATCCTAAAAATAACATACTCCTCAGTAGCATAAATAACAGGAAAAAAAAACAAACAACTCTCTGAAATCTGAAGCAGCAGATGCCCACAGAGAAGCCTAAAATCTGAATCCCACAAACAATCCAACTCCTCATAAGCCAAATTATCAAGGGGTGTGCTATCCACACACCTCTTTTTACTTCTCACACACTCTTCTAATTTTCGGCCGTCCGATTGGATCAGTTGAATAAGATCAAAGGACAAAAATTAAAAAAGGGTGTGGGAGAAGTAAAAAAGAGTGTGGATCGCACACCCCATTGCCAAAAACCCTCCTATTCAGTTCTGCCCATAAAACCCTTCTTTCGTACCCCTAAAGAAACTAAATTCTCACACAACAAAGCATTACATGACACTGGAATGGACCACCATAAGCCTGTCACCTTGAGTAATCGCGACCACAAAGGATATCGCACAGGGAAATGAAGCAATAAGTGATCCATATTTGTAGAAGCCCCCGTCTTCTTTGAACCATTTCACAAATATTAATCTTCTCAAGAGCAATTAGCCAAACTAGCAACTTAGAAGGTTCTTTAGCTTCCCATATTACAAAGGAAGGTGTGACAGTAGCAAGGGTACAATTATTCAACAGATCTGAAAAAGATAAGCAGGCAAATATTCGAGAAGCCTCTGACGTCCATACTCTCTTATGTGCTCAGCTCTACTTGGAACCAATCACCCAGTTTCAAGGTCTGTCAGTAAAGACTGGACCTCTCCATTCCTACTCATTAAGGTTTCTCTGACACACAAAAATCCCAACTAAGAGGGAAGGAGGACAGATTGGCACACATTCCAGCAATGGGAAAATCATGATATCAAGACAGTCTAAAGAGATGAGGCTCATTAGTATAAAAATCTGTTTCCCAAACTCAAACCTCACTTTTTCCGCAACTCAACCTGTATTCTCTATCAAGCTTCCAATTTTCACTCTTCATTCCACAATAAATTCCAAGTCATGCTTCCACTTAATTAAAATCATTAAGGGACAACTAATATCAATCGTTTAAAACTTTGTTTCCATATCATTACATAGTATTCTGCTGCCAAAGAACTTTTTTTTTTGTTTTGTTAATAAATAACCATATATTTCAGATGGAGCTTGGAGGAACTTAATTAATCTTATATTTCCCTATGGATTTTTTCATTCTAATACTCCATCTAAGAGTTACCAGTATTCACCAAAGCTGTTCCTAACAATCCAATCTCATATGTTTATTCCCGTATTTAAGAAGAAAATTACTCAGTCAGTTGTAATTGTAATATGGTTTTGCTTAAACTGCACAATGGGTGAAATAAAACCCAGGAAGCACAAACTAGCATACAAAGTGAAGAAAAAGAAAATATTAGAGCAGAAGTGTTACCATCCACCAGGATGCCCCACATAAACCACTAAGCTGATAAGCCCTCCGTCCATCAGGATACCTTTTGCAGCTTCCAATGCTTTTAATGTTGTGTCTGACTGCGTGGTGAGTGTTTTGTCACCCCATGGAAGATAGCCTAGGTTGAAAGCGACAAGCCTGGCAACACCCATTTAATAAAAGTTCTCAGGAAGCAAGTTCTTCCTATTGCAGTAATGTGGTCAACAATATTGCCGTCTATATGAATAAAGATTGTGTGTTTTCAGCTGTCCAAAACACTTATTTAATTTTCTCTTCTTCTGTTATATACATATATATATATATATATATATATATATATATTTTTGGGAAGTGTTATTGGCACTCCAAAATTCTCATGCTACACTCCTCATAAGTGTATTTTTCTTTCCAAATATAGAAAGTTTGGAGTGTAGAATGAGATTTTTGGAGTGCTAATAACAATTCCCTTTTTTTTATATATATAAAGGGAAGTGTTATTGGCACTCCAAAAATCTCATTCTACACTCCTCACAAGTGTGTTTTTGTTTCTAAATATGAATGGAGTGCAGAATGAGAAATTTGGAGTGCCAATAACAATTCCCTACATAAAAAATGGAAAAAAAATGCTTTTATTGAATTTAAAGAACGGTGCAAACAGAGTGACCAAGCTTAGACACTAATAACCACAAAACTGTCAACTAGCTAACAAACAATCATTATACACCTCCACAATACACTATTTTTCGAAGCTGGACTAATGCAATTGCATAATACCAGGCATGTAAGCTTTCTGAATGTATTCTTGTTTTCTTAACTGATTTTCTTTGCATTCGTTAATGAAGAACTGATGTAAAAGAGACATAGAGGTCAAAGGTACTGGCATAAAATTAAATTCCATTAGGGTTTCACGTTATCACTCTGACTCAATACACAAAAGAATGGGATGAGATCATCAAGAATCTTGAGTTAAAGTGAGTACCTAACAGATGTATTCCTTGGTAGAACTTCATGCATTTTACTGTGGCATTTGGAGAACAGCTTAACAAGTCCCTTCTACATATAATTGAAACTAAGAAGAATTTTCATATGTCCACAATATTAACCACAGAAAAAAAAAAAAAAAAAAAAAAAAAAAAGAACTAAAAGTAAAACCACAAGATAGTTCAGTCCAGTCCCAACCACCAGTCCAGAATGAAAGCATGATAAACATCATTATAGTTGGTTTCAATCACACTAATAAATAACTCGATCAAGGCAAACTTGTGTATGTTGATAAGGCTTTGAGTATACAAGTCAAGCATAACACAGAAGCACAAACATAGAAATACAATGAAAGCCAGAATTCTCCGTAATAAAGTGCCGTTAAAACCTCTTTTTTAAATCTAATGAGCAATCACAATCATTTTCTTTATTATTCAACAGTCAAATATGGTGCATTTAGAAGAACTAATCATAAAGACAGTGGTGAAAACATGAGTACATCAGATACTGGTCTGACTCCACTCCAATGGACTCTGCAACTAAGAATAAACGGGAGATCAAGGCAAAGCCTATATTTCCTGTAAAATTAGTCCTACATGATATGCAATGGAGGTTCAACCAGTGATGATTAGACAATAAATTACTCATGGACTGAACACAATTTTTTTATCCACACTCGTTTTGGAATCAAGACCACCGATTTCCTTCCCCCACCGGGTCCAAAATGAGCTGCCCAATTCTTTTATTACTTCGCATGAAGTTTTGTTGATACAGTGACCTCTCAAGTCTCACACAACTACTCCCAACTTTTTATTTCCTCAGAAGACAAAATTTGGAATCATGAATTACAAATGCATAAACTTTCTCCTTCCTCAGAAAGAAGACAATTTGTCAAAGGTACCTCATTTGGAGTGACCGAATCTTCCAGCAGAGAAGAAGTTTTCTGTAAAGCAGCTTCTTGAATGTCAAGTCCATAAACAGAACCCTTTCCCGATTCATCAGTGACCATCTTGAGCATCGCTAAGGTATCATGACCATTGCCACAAGTGGCATCAATGACCGTATCACCTTTTTGGACAACATTTTTCCATACCCTGTTAAGAAAAGAAACTAGAAGATATTCAGAGTTTAAACAATACTATAACAAAATAAAGGAAAAACTAAGAATGATAATGTATTTCATGAGACATACCGCACAAAATTACATATAAAACTCAAAGCTCGCGAATTTAGATGTTTGTTAAACCAATTAATGTGCAGTCATTGTGCACAATACAAAACCAAAAGGCTCGAGATGCTTGCCTTGAAAACCAGAAGTGGGTTAATGGTACGCTCAAACATAACAATGCAAATGTAGGTATAAGTAAACAAAAACATGCCCGAAATGCAGACATATTTAGGGAAACTAGTGATTGATTTCTTACAAGTGGGAAACTTCTGTGGCCCTCTTCTTCCCCAAGATGAAGCTCACTAGTAGATCCTCCAATCCTGAATCATGGTCCACATTCTAATAAGTAGTTGATTCCAATTCGGTTTCACTTTAATGTCTTAATTATCAATTTTACCCCAACTCCACAACCACAGTTGACACACTAGTTATCTGTTTGGTTCCTGAGAAAATACAAAATTTAACCCAGATTTTCTCTCAGCCCAAGTAAACAAATCATAGCATAGCATAATAGTCTAGTTATTCCCCTCAAATTTTCTCAGCAACTAAACAGTTGAGGTAATTCAGACTTGGAAAATAAATGCAGCACATGAATTATCATGGGATGTAAGTGTAGTACAAATTTTGAAACACTGCACTTACCAAAGAGAGGAGAGTCTTTCGGGAAAGAAACGGAAACGGAATCACTGGCCGCAGGGGCAGGGATTTGGGAAGCGTTTCGGCGGAAGAGGTCACGAGGAGTCTGACTCAGCGAAACGTTTCGAGTAGGAGGAGAGGGAAAGAGGAAGAAGCAGCGTGTTGAGGAAGAAGAAGTTGGTATTAGCGTCAGGGGTTTGTGTATCCCAAGCAAATGCGCGCCAAATCTCAATCTGACCGGCACTGCAACTGCCAGCATAGCTCCGGCGGCCTCTACCTCCTCCCACAGATAAAAGATAACGGCGTCGAAATGCACATTCGATCAAATTCGACAATGCAAATGCCGCCCGAATTGAAATTTCGGTAAAATGGGTCGGGTCAGGCCGAATCAAGCCCAACTCTGGCCCGTTTAAAGTGGGCACGGTACGGTCTGGACTTTGTACTAGTTTTGGTGGGTAGCTGGGGTATGCCCCATCCACATCATGTTTGGATGAGTAAATTGTAAAAAATGCACTATAAATCATTGGATACTGAGTCATTCATAGAGCGGTCTAGTAGTATTTGTTTTTATTTTTAAGTGAGAGTATTACCATTGTCTCATACGAATAAAGAGTTTGATGCCTAATTATGACTGTCACATTGTGTCACTTAGTCTAAATCTCTCCTCTCAATGTCTCTACATCAATAACAATTAGATAAAGAGATTTAAGGCGACTAGATGCAATGCATGAATTTGTAATGAAGAAATAAGTTATTTGAAAAATACTTTATTGAGAAATACTAAAGAAACTCTCTCAAAAGTAGGACCCTCAATAGATTATCTACTACCTTACAGTTTAATGTTAATTCTCGTGCTAACATTACAAAACATTGTGCCAAAAACATGAGGTGACAGAGAGTTTATAGAGAGTCCCACTTTTGAGAGTCTCCTTAGCATTACTCTACTTTTTTTTTAACAAACGATATTATCTATACTAAGGGGATGTGGGTGTGGGTCAAGCCTCACAATAGGTCAGCCACAATAATGTGGATTAAATTCATCTTTACCCGAGAATCGAATCTAAGACATCTTACTTACAAGTGAAAAGAAATATCACTATATTATAGTACTAAGTGTCGGCATTTCTCTACTTTATTTAGTGACTTTATAATACTCATGTAGTGCACTTTATTAACTCTGGCACTACAAAATCTCTCATAAAAAAAAAACACCATTAAGGCAAGATAATGCGTTTAGATGAGGTCCATGGAGTGGCATTAAAACCGAATCAAATCAAACCGTTTAACAAATGGTAAATTGGAGTAGTCATCTGGACAGGCAATACATGTCCGAGTCAGGTCATATCTCATGGGATTGGAGAGCTGTACATGCTGACCATGTTCCTAGAAGTAACCAAGGCACCTTCCCCTTCCGAGAAGAAACGTTGGCGCACATTCCTCCTCCGTTACTTTACTTCGTAGTAAACCTCCACCACTTCACCCTTTCTAATCGCATATTTTATTCCTCCTTTTCTTATTTTATAACACGGTCTATGTTTAAGATGCAATGCAGATTTGAGATGTAACAGCCTCATATTAGCTTTTTTAGAAAACATAAATATGAGTTATTCTGAGAAATATGTAGATTAGGAATCTAACGGATCATCTCATAAAATCGTAAAAAATAATGTAAATAGACATCTTTATTTACATCTTCTAGTAAAGATGGATAATTTACATTCTGTTTTTCAACCACCATGTAAACTTTTCATTTCAAAACATTTTGCGTTTCCCATTTAAAATGCTCCAACGCTAAATAAACCATAACTCTTAACATTTGAACAAATGTAATTTTCTTGCCCAGAATTACGATTTAATAATAATTTCAAATGTATTTTTTGTAAATAATAAGTTCGATGAGGATTTATTATTTTTAATTTTTTAATGATACGAGTCAAATAACGCACACTAAACCAAACCAAGTCGAATTGAAATTGCGTGCCCACAAATTCTAAAGAATTAATTACACACGGAAAGAGTCGTTCCTAGTTCTGGGGCCCATCGCATCTCCAATCAGACTCCAGACTTCGTCTCTTTCGGTGAGAAATCTCGACCGTACAAAACTAATCAAAGATCTGATCGCGGCCCATGAACGGTCTGATTGATGGGGTTGACTACTAGCTCTTGGCCCCACTGTGTTAGACTGTAAATTGTAAAGCAGAGATTGCTGATATTTGGAAAAAAACAAACACACACAGAGATTGCTGATATATATCTAAATGGATATGTATATGTATATATATATATATAGATGCAGCTGAGCTCAACTTCTGTGTCAAACGAGTATATAAATTTGACAGCCAACTGAGTGGAGAAGAAGGAGAGGAGGCAAAAGAGCATATAAGTACAAGCACTCGACAATCTGGTGATTTTCTTACCTCCCTTTCTAGGGTTCTCATATATATATATATATATTTGATTTTTGATTTTTGATTTTTTGATTTTATTTTTTGTATGTGGTAGGATCTTATGTAATCTGTTTTGTTTAAATGAAATGGATTGTGCTGCTTTTGGGAATTATGAATGATGTTTGATGGGATTTTGGGTTTCTTACTTGGGTTTAGTGAAAATAATTCGGCTTGAACTATCTTGAATTGAGATTTTGGTTTCTTAATTGTTAATTAGCAATAAGTGTGTCTTTAAAGTTATTTAATATGCACATAAAGCTCCTAATCGATCGATATAAATTGTTTTTGGAAAACTAAGTTGAATTCTGGATGGGAAATAGGTAGGGATTAATGATTTAACTCTTAGAATTGTTACCCTATGAGGATATTTACAGTTTATGCTGAAAGTTATTTTATTTTTTGAATCATTTCATGAATAATTTGGTGAGGAAGATGATAGTTTTCTTAAAAGTAGCATCAGAGGGGAAACTGGGTGTTCAATTTGTTCAGATTTTCGGTTGCTTGTCGTGCAGCTGTATCTTAATTGGATGATTCATTTCTGTTTGCGGTTGCTTTGATTTACAATGACGATTCTCTTGTCTCGTATATTAAGTTGGATTGGTGTTGGATTTTGATACATCAGGTGAGCATATAAGTTGAGAAATGGATCCTAAAGAAAGGCAATGGGACACCTGGGAGAATCCTTCCACTGGGAATGATGTGACAAATACGATTTCCTCAGATCATCCATCTTTTAGCAATTTCAAATCGCGGCTGCATCAACGCGAGTGGGAAAGTCCCTCTGTTTTAGATTATGAAATGAGGATGGAACCGTCCTTCCAGAAGTTCCACCAGCCTTCTGATTTGCAAATGTCACATACTTGCAATTCCAAGAATGAGTCAAAAATTCCAGATCGAGAAGGTGGTAAGATGCATGAGGTGCAGCAGCCTAATAAAATCCAAGACTGGGATGCTAGAACGACGTTGAGCAATCTCACATTCCTGGAACAAAAGATCCATCAGCTTCAGGATTTAGTGCATGTGATTGTTGGCCGGAGAGGTCAAGTTCTAGGACGACCAGATGAACTTGTGGCTCAGCAACAGCAGCTCATAACTGCGGATCTTACTTCAATAATTGCTCAGTTGATCTCTACAGCAGGTAGTCTTCTACCATCTGTGAAGCATACGCTTTCCACCACATTACCTTCTAATGGACAGTTTGGGCAGCTTGATGGGTCATTTATTCCTTCTGCAGCAGGAAATGATGCGGGTGTTAAGATGCAAATTAATAGCGCAAGAAAATTAGCTGATCAGGCCAACCAGACTGATCTAATAAGTAATTATGGGACTGAGCATGTTGAAGAACATGAAACCAAAGATGAGGAGGATGCTGATGAAGGTGAGAACCTTCCGCCTGGTAGCTATGAAATTTTACAGTTAGAGAAAGAAGAAATCCTTGCACCTCACACTCACTTCTGTGCAATTTGCGGAAAGGGATTCAAGCGGGATGCAAATTTAAGGATGCACATGAGAGGTCATGGAGACGAGTACAAAACCGCAGCAGCACTTGCTAAACCCAACAAAGAATCCAGCTCTGAACCAACGCTTATCAAAAGGTATTCATGCCCTTATGCTGGCTGCAAGCGGAACAAGGATCACAAAAAGTTTCAGCCTTTGAAGACTATTTTGTGCGTCAAGAATCACTACAAGAGAACCCACTGTGACAAAAGTTACACTTGCAGCAGATGCAATATCAAGAAGTTCTCCGTTATTGCAGATCTGAAAACTCATGAGAAGCATTGTGGTATGGACAAGTGGCTTTGTTCTTGTGGCACTACCTTCTCGAGGAAAGACAAGCTTTTTGGGCACATTACCCTTTTTCAAGGCCACACTCCTGCCATACCCCTCGATGAAACAAAAGGAACTCTAGGGCCAGCAGAGCATGGGGAAGGCAATGAAGCATCAAACAGAGTTGGAAGCATAAACTTCAGTGTTAGCTCCACTGCTCCTGGCGGAGGTGGTGCAGCTCAAAATCTCATGGACGTGAAAGAAAGTATTGATGATCCGACCAGTTACTTCTCTCCATTGAATTTTGAAACCTGTAATTTTGATGGGTTTCAAGAGTTCCCTCGACTCCCGTTTGAGGATTCAGAGAGTTCATTCTCTTTTCTTATGCCAGGGTCATGTAATTACACTCACAAAACTGGAGGAGGTGAGTCGAATTTCAACAATCTTCCTCGACAGTAATGATTACTCGCCCCCCAGTGTATGATTTCCTATAAGAATTGTAAGGTTTAGATGATCCCATATATTTATGATTTCTTGAGCTTAAATAAATGATTTTCTTTGCCAGTTTGGAGCTTGTTGTAAGTTTTAGGTGATCCCATGTATCCTGAATAATAATGCATACATAATTTGAATTTGTCTTAAGTATCTTGCTCTCGACAAACAAGAACTTTCGCCACTTTACTACGATTGATCTAGTGGTATTCCTCTTCACTCAGAAATGATAGGTTTTAGGTTCCAATCTCGTGGACGGCGAATACGATACCAAATTACGCTGCTCATTGTGTGGCTTAGCCGACCTCCCCCTACCTTTAGCGTAAAAATATCGATGTACCAAAAAATAAAAAATAAAAAAAAAATCTAGAACTTTCTTTCAAGGCTTCAACATATTACGCGTATATTTCGTAAAGAATTAGAATCAGAGCTCCTTAAAAGCATCGTTTTATTTGAATGATGTAATGATGCATAACAACAGATTTCGATTCCTCAAGTTCTTGATCTAATCCCTTACATCCCCGGTAGGGTTTTGATGAGGCGACCCTTATCCTTTATGTATACAAGTTCGTTCCTTCTTTAGTCAATAGCACATTACTTTCAGAAAAACCAACACATGGGGACA